ATGAATACTTTAATTATACGTGCAGTGAGAATATCATTTAAATGACAATTTTATATTATTACTTTTTTCGGCATTATTATTAAATTAGTGTTTAAAAACATATTTTGTATATTTCAAAGTTGTTTAAGTAATTTGTTTTGATTTTTTTGTTTGGAAAAGTTTACTTATGGGATACATTAAAATTAAATGCTTTAGTGTTAAGTAAAATTCCGAGTACTTTATAGTATAAAGTTTATACACTGATACTTTTTTCTAGTAAGTATTATATTATTTTATCCTAGGTTCAATAACCATTGAATGATCTTTTTTAATAATTGTTTAATAGTTTTTTAATCCTAAAAATATTTTTTATCCAATTAATGATCACACATATGACACAGTATTTATAAACATCGCCAAATCGTAATTTAATTAATCATGTTGGTGCTTTTTTGGTTAAGCCTGTGAGAAATGATAATTAGTAATTACTATCGATTCATAAAATTCGTGAAAATGCTAGTGAAAAGCAGTTTAAAAAATTAAGATAATTAAGCTTTCATTTGTGAATATATTACTACGGATTCATAAATACATTTCCGCCAAAACACTTGTGTGAATAAGTTATGAAAACTTCATTCAATTCATATGCATTGCAAAAAAGGTTATATTAATTGTCGAAAAAGTCAAAATTCATAGCATATTATGACATGAATTAAGATTTGAAACGTGTATATAATAAGTGAAGACATAATACACAATGAAAAGTATATGTATAATGTGTTTGGTGTGAAGGGGATAGGGATGGGAGGCGTTGGTCTTTAGGAGTCACTGATTCCTATCCTTTAATTGTTTGCTATGTTTTGCAGTGATTTATTCAACCGATAGGTCACGTCATACAGTGATTGAAGTCTTTCTCTCATTAGTGGTTTGCATCTGACTTTGCCTTTCATTTGACTATTTTCTTATGAAAATTGTTGTTTTTATTAGCGATCATTATATTTGACAATTATTATGAGAAACGAGTGTTTAGTTACTGAAAATGAAATTTTCTTATAACCTGGGTATCAGTATGTAATACACTATGTATTGTATTATTGTGTCTAATGTTTGAACATTTGTTTTGTGTATAAACATGCAATAAATGTCTCATAAACTTTTGTGAACTAATTTATAAAATGCTTTTATAATAAATTAAAAATTTTGTTAATAATTAAACAGTTGATTATGTATTAGGGTCTGAAATAAAAATGTTAATAATTCAAGGATTACGGTAATAGACTATGAGATCCATGAGACCGTGTGTGTAGTTAACCGTAAAATTTTAATCAATTATTTGAACGAAAGTTTTTCATGAGTCTTAAAAGTTTGAAAACTTTTTAATTGAGTTATGTTTTTGGCAATGAGTGACTTGTGTGAGTGAATGAAAGGTTGTTTTTAAATGATTATAATTTAGCCAATTGTTTTTCATATTGATTGCCAATAATCATAATGATTAGTAATATTTGCCTATTTTTCTCTGTAACCAAAGTTTGAGAAAACAATGAAACGATTGATTGTATTTGTGGCCCAATACAAGATTATCCTCATATTAATTATCCTATGGATACGTACGGTGCGATCGGATCCCAGGGCACTCATCTATAAAGGAAATGTATGTATTAAACCATTTATTATAGTATTTGATGATTATTGGATGGGTGTTAAATGTATTATTAAAATTGAAATTAAAGGTTTATTAGTATAAATGTTTTGTTGTACATGTATTTTATTGCATTTATAAATGAATAATATAATAATAGATTGTACTGGTTGACATTATTTAAATAAAAGTTCTTAAATATAATTTAGCAGAATATAGTCCAAATATTTACAATAGAAATTTATAATATTTATTTTTCATAACAATAATTTACTTGTTATAAAAGTTACCGTAACGGTATCGGGCATTCCTATATTTTGATTTACAAATTATTTTTATTTAATCGTAATTTAGGACTATTAAATTGACCTTTTATATTATTAACTTTATAATTTGCGATAAGATCTCAATCTGTCAACAGATTCTCGAAAACAACAGAATATTTCATTATTTAATAAAATAAAGCAATTTTCTGACATTTGTATCAAAAATAAATATAACGATTAGATAAACAAAAATTATGACACAAACCATATTTTTATAGTAATTTTCAATTAAGAAAAGACTATAATAAATGAATAGTGGGATTGAAATAATAGTGTATTTTATTATATAAGAAAGACATGTCACAATTGATTCACAATAAGATATATAATACGAAAACAAATGAACGCTTGAAAAGAGATTTTGTGAACAAAAAAATAATACAAAAAGATATATATATTTATGATCTTCTTATAGATAAATAGGTATAAAACACACGACAAAAAAGGTTTTGGGAATCGGTTAGAAACTAAAATGACATAAAAAAATAAGCTTTTAATAAGAAATATAAAAAAATGGTTGAGAAATGTATAACTGATATGATTTTGATCGGTGGGAGGAAATCGGGTCAATAAGACTGTATGTGTGAGAGTGGTATGAAAGTCGCAAAAACTTTGTGTAAAAATCTCACATATTTTTCCAGAGTTTATGTAATAATAGAAAGTGGAAAAGTGTTTTCTGAGTATTTTCTAATATGTTTTTTGTGATGACTTTTACCCGGCTATGTATGACAGGTGAACATCGGCCTACTAATAGGCGCCCATTCAAGCACTTCCAGCGACTCGTTATGCGACGGCATTAACACTAATGGTTTGCACCACTCGATGGCTAACGTATGGGCTCTGCATATGTATAATCAGCGGCAACGGCTTAATAGTTTCGATGAGATCGGGGTATTTATTTACGATACCTGTGCCGACCCGGGCGTAGCTCAGAGACAGACTGTGCGACTCGTGTCACACCTGTTCAGTGTTGGTAATAGGGTTTGTCGCGACTCTAAGACCTATCCGCCATTGATTGGTAATGTATTGGATTTTTGAATGGCATTTAGAAATTTCTATTTGAAGTATCAGACACAATTTTTATATAATTTTATTTTACACTAATTTAATTGAAAATAGCTAATATTGTATTAAAATTTATTTTTAACAGAATATTGATTTAAAAAATGAATTCTATGGTAATGATAGTATAGTTGTAAAGTTTATAAAAATGTTATGAAGTTTAATACGAGTGAATGCATACAAATTGAATAGTTTTAATTTGCTAGTTTAATTTTGTTATTTATTATAATGAAATTTTAATTTTCATACAGTAACCTATATGTACCAATTTAACACATGCTTAGATAATGCATAATAATTTACTCATTTGTTTACTAATTACTTCAAATTACTATCAACAAGAATAGAAATATCTAATGTCTAAAAATAACATAAATTATAAAAAGTAGATTTTGATAGAGAATTACACAATGTTTGATGAACTGTATTGACTGAACCGAAATACAATTGAATCATTAAACCGAAAGCTCTATAGAAATCAAATTAATGATAATATAATTTACTTTTTTTTGATAAACCAAACCCATTCACTCGGATCAGCCGTACGTTTAGCTAAATTTGTTATCATCTCATGATTAATGATCGTAACCTCAAACCTCATTGTGTCTTAAATTAAGACTCTTAATATTATTTATAACATAGATTAAGGGAACGTTAGCTTTTTCGTTAAGTGAACTCTAATTTTTTTGTTATCATCTCATGATTAATGATCGTAACCTCAAACCTCATTGTGTCTTAAATTAAGACTCTTAATATTATTTATAACATAGATTAAGGGAACGTTAGCTTTTTCGTTAAGTGAACTCTAATTTGTGTGTATATTATGTGACCATCGATTAGGTGTTATAATCGACGGCCAAACCTACGACAAGTCACTGGACTTATTCAAGACATTCAATGTCCCCATAATCACCACATCTGAGGGCAGGCATAATGATAGCGATTCCGGTGGTGGCAATGTATTCTCGGTGGCACCCAGTCTTAAATACCTGTCCAATGCAAGTGTCTATTTATAGTCTATTTATTGATGTATCAATTGTCACCAAATCTGATGAAAGGATCTATTGTTATGCCATATGTTTAGGCAGTCATGTCATTAGTGAAGGAACTGAACTGGCAATCCATGGCACTGGTAGTGTCCGATGAGGAACCGGCATTTGATTCACAATACCTGCACTCATTGTCGCTGAATAGCAATAACGACTTGAATATAGTCAGTAATTATTATAATTACAGCCCAAACGACGGCACCGGCACTCAATCAGCGGATTATTTGGTATAAAGACATGAATTGATCTATTAGTCTATTGTTAGAGATGTTTGGATACTTTCCAACACGAAAAAAGTGTTACTTTTTTCGCAATAAGCTATTAATTTGACGTTTGATTTGATTTTTAAGGCAAACGCTAATCTCAACCGAAAAAGATATCGCAGAAGAGATGTTAGTATTTGACAGAAAACTCATTTTTTGTGTGATTAACCTTTTTTCTGGATCTCCTTTTATGTCTTATTTTGCACACAATTGAAGGAACTTTTTATGTCAAACACTATATTCTACTTGAGTTCCTCGGAAGCCATGGATCTACTGAACAGTCTGAGCGGAACTGGCGATGACTACAGCGGTGTGGCCGCCAATTACTCCTACATTATCGTCACGAATAGGGATATATCGGCGCTGATGAAGACGTCAACTGATCTGAAACGGAGCCAAAAGTTGAGAAAAAATGTTTTCCTTGTGTCCCCTCTGATGGAGAAGTCAAGCGAATACCAGACATACTTCGAGACAATGGTTGACCACAAGGATGCCGGTGCTAAAGGAGGCGATCAACCGTTGATCGCGGAATACAGGCGAGCGGCTAATGATAGTCGTGTTCCCGACGCTAGCGTAGCCCTTATGACCAAAGCTGTATGGGCTCTATCCCTGGCCTATCAGGTCTGACCTCTTGTCGCTAGTTATGTGTGAAATTAGTTTTTGATTTTTTTTGTAATTTACAATTGATTTGTGTTTGCGTTTTGTGTATAGAAATTGTTTCAAATACAATGTGCCGGAAATAAACTGAACTGCAATTTATCGACTAATGCCAACCTCACGGATATGATGATTAATAGCCTGAGCAGTTTGAATGCCGTGATCAGCGAGAGTGGTCTCAAAGACCTCAATGGCGTGAGGTTGCGGTTTGACAGCGAGGGTAAACTGGTGTCCTGGAAGTACCAGATAATGATCGTGGCGTCCAATTGGCAGACAATTAATCTCGGCTTTTATACCCTGGATAACGGGCTTAATATCGACTCGAAGTTCATGCAAACAATTTTAGCTAACCGTGTGAATCGGTTTAGGATTAGACCGAAGTCTATGATTAAAGCCATACATAGGAGTGGTTTGAGTCCGCAGTCGTCCAACACTTTACCCCTCTATAAGCAACCGGTTTATAGCAGTAATACAAACAGTCAGTCCATCGTACAGTCAAATCTGATGAGGTCTACAATCAGACATCAAGTGTCGTCTTCATCGGCACCGATAGAGAGACGGACCACCCTTTTAGACGACTTCCCACCGCTGAACACGTCGTCCACGCGATCGTCGCCGCACTCGGACTCCAATTACGTGACCAGAAAGCGGTACAACAGTCTGACGGTCTGGTTGGGCACCGTATGGTCGTTGGCGATACTCAGCTCATCCATACTGGGAATACTGATCACACTCTACGTCCAGACATTTCTACTGATGAAGTCCTGTGAAGGGGCGCTGAGAAGTGCCAATCAAGCGCTGGTGATCTGCCATTTGGTGGCCGTCGCCGTCACTTTCTTGGGCTCATCCCTGTAAATATGGATTAATTTTGGGCTAACCATTGAGTTTATGATTAATTTCGTGTCTACATCCCTATCCCCTCGACAGTTACGTGTTTTATCCGACGTCAATGATATGCTGCTTACGGCATACCATACACAACATCAGCGTTACGTTGCTTTTCGGTTCGCTACTCATCCGCGCCATGTATATCAGGGCCCAGAAGTCTATAGGGCTGGGCGGGCGCACCAGTCGCTTGAATCAGTTATTAACACTGTTTTTCATAGTCGGCATTCAGACGGCCCTCGAGTTCCAGAAGTGGAAGTAAGATATCCCTCTGATTAATAGCCGGGTATTATAGGCGCTGATTATTGACTTAATTGTTTGCATACTCGTTAGGTATGAGTTCTCCGGGACTGACAGCAGGGACAGTGATATGGATTTGAAGCGCTTCTGCATTAACGACGGCTATGAATACATGAGAAGTCAGATCTATATCACAATTATTTTGTCACTTTTGTTGATAATGTGTTGGTCGGCGAGGGATACACCGTTCAACCAGAGGGACGGCAACCAAGTGCTGGTGATTTCGCTGCTGATGGCTATGGTGTTCATCGCGTCGATGACAGCGATAATGAATATAAATAAATCAAAATATAGCGATATTATCATCGGTTTGTCGATGAATATATACGCGTTTTTAGTACTATTGGGCCTATTTGTGCCCCTATTGCACGCTATACACAAATACGGGGTACTGGTGCCCAAGTCGGGCTCCTACGCCGACTCCCTGTCCACTATATTCACGAGTTTCGGTGGCGGCGCTCATGATCTCACAGACAGTTATTCTCATAACTCATCCCAAAGTCACAAAAGCAAAGAGTGTCTGAACACTAAACTCAGCAAATCTTTTGATTTTCACAACACCACCAACTTTTTTGCCCGGGTGTCACCAAATTGCTACACAAACCCCATGCAAGGCCAGTATAGATTGAACAGGAACAAGTTGTCGTTAATGCATAACACGCTATACGAAGGGGTGCCTGGATTTAGATCAGCGTATCCATGATGATCACCTTGGTCTGATAGTAAATTATATGTATTTTTATGTAAACGAGCTGTATGACTTCATTAGACACATAACACATCATTAATTTATAATTTATGTTTAATTTTTGTAAAAGTTTTTAACGGATTTGTAATATAATTTTGAGATTTATTTTATTATGACAAAAAAGATATTTAACATTTTATTATCTATAATTTTATTTAACATGACAAATTTTAGTTAAATGTTTGCGATTTTATTATTATCATCAGAGTTATAAAGTTTATTTAATAAAAGTGATTCTTACAAAGTTGTGATTGAATTTTATACAATATTGCACATTATGATCAAGTTATCTAACCATTGTATCCGTAACCGCCACGACCACCATAACCGCCACCGTAACCTCCTCCATAACCTCCTCGGCCACCATAGCCTCCCCCATAACCGCCTCGACCTCCGTATCCGCCACCATATCCGCCGCCGCCATAGCCTCCTCGGCCACCATATCCACCACCATAACCACCACCACGTTGTAGATTACCGCTATAGCCTCTCATACTCCTGCCGTAGCCATAACCACCTCTGTTTCCACCACCATATCCGCCATCATTGCCACCACCATAACCCCGATTGTAGCCCCGGTCATAGCCACCACCATAGCCGCCATCATTGTTGCCTCCATAGCCGCCCCCATAGCCACCATTATATCCGCCGTATTGTGCGCTCACAACAGCCACCAAAACACATAATAAGACAATAACTGAAATTGATTTCATAGCGAGTGATAGATTTATGGCACAAATTTATGGTATCAAATATATCAAAGACTTAGCAATTGAGTGATAGGTGAGTCCAGAGAGTGATGGGCCACCGGTTTATATAGTATGCGAAGTCGAGGCCAGTCGTATGAATATTTTTGTTTGATATTCAAAAGGTGTTTTCTGATCGCAAAACTCAAGGATTTGTTATCGATATGTGAGTTATTACTGGGAATTGTTTTTCGGTAGAAAAGTCATTAAAAGTTATGAAACTTTTTTTTATGGTACATAATGTGGTACTAAATTTAGAAATTAATATTCAGTGTTCACTGATTTATACCGGTATATTTTTTATGTGAAGTATATATAAATGGATATAAATAAGCCGCCGGTGTCAATGCCAATTAAATAGTTTATTTTGCATATTGATTTATTTAATTTAATGATTATTTTAGGTATATTGACGATCAGCGAGTGACATTGAATTTATTTTAATTTGTTTTGACATTTGTTTCTAGAGTTTAATATTTTAATATATTTTTAGAGAAAACAAGATTTTTTAATATAAAAATAAAATTAAAAGATTAACATGATTAAAAACATCTAATTAATTATGCCATGTTACAATCAAATTCATTTTTAATCACGGTAAAAGTGTATAGCATTTTTAATTACCGGTAAATTAATTTTTTAATTGCATATATAGCTGGTGATAAATGTTGATTTAAGTGACACTGAACCAATCTGATATACTAGATAATTACAGTATACTAAAAATGCTATTTCTAGACATAATAAAAACTCGTAAAATAATAGACATGTTTTTAACAAATAATTAAATAAATAATAAATAATTCAACAACAATTTTTTAAAATCTAATTATATATTACCTAATAGGATGTTAGCTATTAACTAATGATTTATAATTATACAGTAGTTTAACGTGTATTATGCAATAAATACAAATATCAAACCTGTGATAAATCATAATGTTTTTCAAATGGGGAATTATTATGGTCTAAAATTTCAATTTAAAAATAGCTTATAAATCTGACTTACTAGTTAATAAAAAATTTCCATTAGCGTGTCAGTGAAAACATAATTTAGACTGTGTTTTTAATTTAAAACTAGTTATTACACTATTTATTATGACAAATATGGTATGGGAATGATAATAAAGAAAATTTTATAAAAAAGATTTGAAATCAAATCAAATACTGTTTATACGTAAAGATCAGATAGATTAGGGAAAGGTCAGTGGAAAGGGGTTCACAGGGATTGGGATTATGTTGATTCGTATAAATATTCTCAGGTAAGAGTTTATAAGAGCTATATCAATCAATTAATTTAATTTTATGATGCAAGTAGAAAATTAATGTTTTGTCAATAACTTATAGACATAAGATGTTTTCGATGTAGTAGGCATCCCATGATGTTTATGTCAACTATTGCCAACTACACCTAAAAAAGCTTTTACAAAATATTAATTTTTTATATTTTGTATAAAATATATTTGACATGGCTTGTTATTAATATATTTTGCGTGCATATCACATGCACTTTTATAAAAAGTGTATTGAATATTGTGTAATATTAATTGTGCAAATAATTTGTTAGATGATTTCTAATGGAGTTTAATAAAGTGTTATTAATGTCCGGTACAATTGGTGACCCCTTGTTATTATAAAAATTGGTGGCAATGGGAAAACACTTGAAGGACTTGTGAAATCGATAGCAAAAGGTTTGATTTTGTTATTGTTTCGCGGGTTTGATTGAGTTGTTTATTAGACACGCCTTTAATAACCAACAAAATAATGATCACTATTTCATATATAAATTGAAATTGAGTTTAATTTTAAATCACAATTGAAAATATTTCCTTAAAATAAGCTCTCTCTCTCTCTCTCTCTCTCTCTCTCTCTC